ATTCTGAACTGCGAACAAATTAACAACAAAGAAGTCAGCATCAACAACATCAATCCCCAAGCATAAAAACCAACACTTTACTGCGCAAAGCAAAGCAACTTAATCTACCAGAGTGTTTGAGATTGTAACCAAACATTCAAATATATACAAAGAAAGGATATGAGAAGGCCTCGGAACCTACAAGGAACTGATTTCTGAGCTTTCACAGCCTTTTCATTTTCATACGCAGACCTCAATTCCTTGACGAAGGAGGGATGCAATGTCCTCGTTCTCTCGAATTGTTCCTCTTCCATGGCCCTGAGCTTAACAAGCCTCTGATTGAGCTCATTTAATGAGAACCAACCTAGTTCTTTCTTTCCCACTGGTCTATACAATCTTAGTTTCTCTCCCAATTCAATTGGATCATAACTCTTGATAAACTCTGATTTCATCTCCTCTGTCTCATTCTCATTCTTCTGGCCTTGTTCTAATTCCTTCTCAAACACTGAATATGGCAATCCTCCTCCTCCTCCGATTACATTTGACCGGAGATTTTCATTGAATTTCAAATTCGTCTTCATAGTGTTCTGTAACCCAGATAAAGTGGCCCATTTGCTCTCAGTGGTAGCTTGTGGTCTCATCTGCCTTAAGTTCTCCTTTATGTTTGTTCCATCGATTTTACGAGTCCCATACGAATCTCCCGATTTTGGTAATACATTCTGTTTGTAAATATCCTGCCAATCCCTCGGCGGCGGAGCTACTGCTCTACTTCGGAACTCGTTCAGATTTCTCCTGATATCCTGATTACCGGAGAGCGACGTCGCCGGATTCGGAGCTTTAGCATCGAATCTGACGAACTGTCTCCTCCCGTCCTGAGGCTGAGTCTGTTTGAGACTGCTTCTGATACCACTGAAGTAGGAAGATATTTTGAAATCTGGCGGCGATGAAGATGAAGAAGACGGTGATTGAGAGGGCTGCTCGCTAGATTCGTTGCCGTCTTGAGGAGATGATGAGGAGGTTGAGAAAAGATGAATGAGAGATGGATTAGAATGTAACCTTTGTTTAGGTCTGGCGAGATGAAGCGCCATGGAAACTGAGATCTTGGCGGCTCCGGAAGCTTTTAGGGTTTTTGGTGGGTAGATGCTGATGATGGAGCCACCGTTCAAATGAATTGAAATGGTCTCAGTCCGGTTCACTGAGAACCGGAATTGATCATCTAGTGATTAAGTTAACCGGATTAGAAAGAAGGGACGGCTCACGGTTTAGGTGCTTTCGGTAAAAGTGAGTCAAATTAAACCATCATCATCATCATCACTACTGACTTGAGATGAGTAAATCTTACGTTAGTGAGCTCAGAAGGTTTGATTCGCTAGGCTTTTGTTCTTATGAGGCACTTTAAATTTTTTGTAGCTAAGATTAAATTAGATTACAACACAACAATGATTTTTTGGTAACCAGTGGTGCTAAAACAAAAGGAAAGTAGCATTTTCTTTTGAATTGTTACATCTCCTTCATATTCATATCTCGTTTGGATAATTTCAATGAAACGGAATCAAAGAGCTGTGATTTATGAACTACTACGGCAGATGATAAGATAGTTTAGGATTGAAAATTGAAATAATAATAATAATAATATGTTACCGTGTTGACGAAAAGAAAAAATATGGTAGTTCGCTGACTGCTTTCGTACAATCGGAACGATAACTACTTTTTCTAGAGAGAGACGTATGTGTTCGTCTGATACGATTATCAAATCAACGCTTAACATAAGAATGTGTATTGCACGAACACATTCATGTTACGACACGTGTTGTTTACACATTGGTGTTCTAACAAAATCCACTTGCAACTGATGATACGTATCTAAAAAAAAAAAACTCATTCAAAACCCTATTTTGTATGCTTCTATTTTTGTTTCAACTTAGACCATACCATCCCATTTTACCTTTACCATGCAATTTAAATCCCATTAATCTAAAGCAATTTGATGTTCTACTAAATGTTTGGTTGTTTTCTTTTTCTCTTTAACTGTGAAAGAAGTTTCGTTATAAATCTAGTATGAGTCATTTATTACCAGACTCGAAGACCACAAGTAAGGAGTTGACGTGATCAAGAAATCATATGATCACGAATGCGAGGTAACAACTAGTAAACTCAAAAAGATATTCTGTCGTATTTGTGTTCAATCACAAATTAACATGAAAATACTAATATGTATTGTCTATAATGTAACATAGACCGTGTGTATATAATGTAATGTAGTTGATTATTCTAGCATGACATTTTATTTTTCCAACTCATATGTTACACATAGCATCTAATTTGTGGAATTTCCAAATTTTGATTTTTGAATATGGGGGTCGCGCGTGTAATATATATACAGACGGTACCTTACTTCGCCTACTACTATTCCAACACACGATAAAACTAAAAAGCTTGCCACAAATGATCTATGCCACGTATGTCTTCAAGAGGGTCCTACACTTATCAAGAAAAAAAAGGAAAAAAGAAAAAAAAAAAAAAAGAGTTTTCCAATCTATCTAACTGTGCAATAAAACTCAATATATATACAAATCCACCCATTAACTTTGCCACAGAGATTTCTTCCTCTCTACTTTTTCGCCACCATCTCTCTCTCTCTCTCTCTCTCTCTCTCTCCTTCTCTGAGTTCCGACTATGTCCGGTGAAAACTGGATTCGAGTGGCCATGTCTGACGATTCCTTGGTGGCGGAGGCGCTTCTTCGGCTCCGCCACTCCGAACCAAAGAAGAGCGTCGACGCGTCTCCTCTCAAGCTGAAATGGAGCGTCCGTCAACGGAGATCGAAGAAAGGAGACCAGACGCGAGCCAGCCCCACCACACCGCTTTCCTGGAGCGGTGCCACGTCTCTTAGCGGCGGAGGCGGCAGCGGTGGAAGCGGCGGCGGTGCTACCACCGTGGAAGGCCTTGAGGAGTCTAGCGCCGCCGTAAAACCCTTTGAGCCCTTTAGATCTAAGGTTTGTCCGATCATTTCACTCGATTTTTGGTTTTATCCGATTTGAAACCCCGGGATGGTCGTAACTCGTAGGTGTTGTTTTCTGTGTGTGTGACGAATATATCCCTCGTGTTGCGGCGTTTTACACTGTCATAGTTTTACGTTTTTCCTTTATCGTGACTTTGAGCGTCTTTGTTGTGGTTTGGGCTGATCTACTACCGATTAAGCCCTTGGCCTTACCCACACGACGAGACGTTTTTTTAGTTGTTCGCTTGTGGGTATTTTGGTCATTGTAGGATCCACGATCGTCTTCCTAAGCTGATCATGTAGGTACACCGACTTTTCGTTGACCGAAATACCCCCAGCGTGGACACAACTCCAATTTAGGCAATCTGATGTTTTAGTTGTTTCTTTTCCAAGAAACTAAATCTATCTTTCTTGATTTCTTTTGTTGTCTTCTTGGAAACACTTGTTAGATTTTGAAGTTTCAAACAGGTGATAAATTCGGTGATCCCTGCTTTTTGCTCTTTTCTTTTGGCAACAAAAGAGTCACGTTTTCCCACTTTTGTGCATCTCAGTCTCTCTCCTGCTGCTTTACGGAAAGACCAAAAAGCCCTCACATCAAGGGAGAGAGCAGAGAGGTCTTCTGGGTCAAATCAGCGTTGTAGACTTCAATGCTAAAGAGAAAATTTTTTTAACACATTCATTACCATGCTAATGACTAAATTAACCCTTCTCATCAGTTTAGCTCCTTCTCACGATAAAGGGTATATAAGTCAACGCCAGAGATTATCGCTGGCGTTATTTATAATTTGGGAGGCGTTTTCGTGGAATTGAATTTAAAGATTAGAGTATTGAGTGGATTAGGTACGTGTGTGGTAGGGTTTAGTGGGGAGGGCAGTTATCAGATGTGGCGCAGTGGACAATAAGTAGTATGTACTCAGCTCTCTAGTAATGGTCAAAGTCCTTAGTTGTTGCAACGGATTAGGTCCTCTGATCCGTCCGTGAGATTTTATGGGTGACAGTCTTGTTGAGTTAGCCTGTTTACTTCTTTTTTTTCACAAAAATTAGTTAAAAGATTGTTTTCTGATTTTTAAGTTGACTTTGATCGGTGGTTTATAATTTGAAAACCAAAGTAAAGTCGTCAAACTAAAGAAAAAGGAATTTTTGGGTAGAATTAAAAAAAAAAAAAAGGGATGATAATAAGGACAAGTGGTGGTGTGGAGAATACGTGACACTAGTTTGGGGTTGGAGGAGAAAGAAAAGCATGACGTGTGAATGTGACGACCAAACACACACGCGTTAAAGTCTCACAAGTCACGCTCCACTCACGTGTTTCTAATTTTTTTCTTTTTAAGGGCATAAGTTGTTGACCAAGAAGATTCTTCTAAATTTTACATGATTTGGAATTTTCTTTAAGATCTCGTAGTTTTAGTTGTTATTTGTTAATATCCTGATGAAGTGATTCTCATATTTCCACCTTATCGTGTCTCTAAAGTCTCTCTGGAATGGTAGGTGTGTCATGTGTGTGGTTTCTTTATTGAAATGGTATAGAATACGAAACTAAATTGTTTTTATGGTATTAGTTTGGTGTGATTATTGATTATTGAGCTGGCTTTATCTGGTGGTGTTGTGTGTCTTAAGCCATATTCTGATTGTTTTTGTTTTGATGTCCAGATTTCTCAAACGAGTGCAATAACAACAACAACCCTTTTCAAGAGATCAAGAAAGAAAAAGGTAAAAAAAAAAAAAAAACACAAAAGACTGTGTTTCTTTAGTTACTGACACTGTTAAAGATAATATTACTAGTTTTAGCCAGACATTGAGCAATTCTTACCAGTCTCATGGCTTGTTTAAATCTGTTTAGGCATATAGTCTAAGATATGCATAGGAATCTTATTTTTTCCTACATTTGGACGGATACATTTTGGTCGACTCAAACCTATTTTTCTCTAATTAATGTATGATTGTTGACAGACTTTGGCTGAGCTTAAAGAAGAAGAGATCATGCTCTTGAAGGAGAGTAACGGCCTGAAAAATGTATAACCTCCATTTTAGCCTTTTTCCAATTATGTCTCTATATATCAAGTGCATGTTCTAATCCTAGATTTGGTTAATCCTATTCTTGAATCAGGAATTGGCAAGTATGCGCGATTTGGTCGAGCAACAAAGAGCAAGAAACAATGCTCTTAAGAAGATGAAGGTGAGCCCATCTCTCTCTATCTATCTTTCTAGACATTTACTCATTCAATCATATATACAGAATATAAACATGTGACTCAAAGTATATCATTTTCATATGTTTGCAGGCTGAATCAAAATCTGCCTTATCTTGCAAACACTCTTTCGAAAAAGGTTCCTCCTTCTTGCTCCCTGACCTAAACATGCCTCTAGATAACGACCCGAGCCCTGAAGTTGTCTGCTGAAGGGGGGAGCCATAAGCATATCATTCTTTTGTTTTTCCCATCACACAACTATACCACTATACCTCCTCCCACAAACATGTCTTTTAACTGTAACTATATGAACATGAAGAACGTAGATTAATCCTATATATCCTTCACCCATTTCCCGTGGACGCTGAAGAAGATTCGCCTGAAGGTGAAGTTTATGGTTAAGTGTTTTCTGACATATCTTCTTGTTTAGCTGGTAGTAAGATTTTTGCTCTGCCATTCTCCTAAATGATTCTTATGTTTCTCCCATTTTCTTAGGATGAGATGTAATTATCTACTTAGATAATAGATGTACACTTTTTTTTTTGTTCTTCCTTATTATCTCTAGTAAGATGTATTGCAACTTGGCCTACGTCGACATTTATAATCAATGTAACACGTTCCAAAACATTTTACTATTTTGTAATATGATTGATGGACTATAAAATATGTTGCAGTCTTCAAATCTTATCTTCGTTATACATTGTAACTTGCTAATTTTATTATTCAAATCGATTAGTCCTTAATCGTAATAACGAAAAGTATAATATATTCAATTTCCAGAAAGTTAAAATAGGAGTGAGTACTATAATTAGTGGCGTTAAATCGTAAAACCCTAGAATTAATCTCAGCTACTTTGTCTTAACGACACTCTTTATTGTCCTGACGCAAAAAACCACACGAAATGGCGTCTCTTGGCCAAATCACACTGCCACGCGCGCCGTCGTCAGAGATTGGCCTCTTACGCCGTCGATTTGAACGACCGATCATCAGAACCCGGATCGGAGTCAGCGGCCGGATAGCGAGCGTATTGACAAACGCAGGGGAACAAGCGGTGTCGGTAAAAGCGAGTGTGAGCCAGAAGGTGATTGAAGAGGAAGCCAAAGTTATTGTGGGTACCTACGCGCGAGCTCCAGTGGTGCTCTCAAGTGGGAAAGGTTGTAAATTGTTCGACCCAGAAGGGAAAGAGTATCTGGATTGTGCATCTGGAATTGCTGTGAATGCTCTTGGCCATGGAGATCCTGATTGGCTTCGAGCTGTCACTGACCAAGCTGGTGTTCTTGCCCATGTCAGCAATGTCTATTACACGATCCCTCAGGTATTGATTCTGTTGGTGGTTGGCGAAACTTTTGTTGATTTTATCCTCTGTGTGATTGAGCTATGGCCTATGGAAAGTATCTAGGAAATGTGGGATTAGTCCTCTACTTGTAATAGGGATATTATTCGAGGACAAGTACTTGCACTTTCATACTTCATCAATTGTTTCTATGCCTTTGCTATAGAAATTACTGTGAGAAACTTCTTTTATTGGTTTGTTCTTCTGATTTCCTTCTGTTTTCGGGCATTGAAGCAATAAACGTGCTCATTCACACATGCATATCGATGTGTTGGTGACTATCTGTCTGTTTCACTGGTTAATATTGGTTTAATACTTACACTTGGATTTTGACAAATAATAATTTACACCTGAATCTCACTCTTTAGATGGTTTCACTCGCTTTGATTCTTATTTTCGGCCATTGACAGTGTTTTAGGATGACATTATAGGACAAGTTAGTAGCCACACAGATTAAATTTTAGTCCTAGGAAATTATGTGGACATCAATTTAAAATCTTAGTGTTTGAACTTAATGCCCATTTCCTCGGAAAATAGGTACCTTCATGCTCATATATACTTCATACACATTGTTAAAATTTGAAATGTTTGAACTTCTCTGCAGATAGAGCTCGCAAAACGCTTGGTGGCAAGTTCTTTTGCAGACCGTGTATTCTTTTGTAACTCTGGAACGGAAGCCAATGAAGCAGCCATCAAGTTTTCAAGAAAGTTCCAGAGATTCACCCATCCAGATGACAAAGAAGTCGCGACAGGTTTCATTGCCTTTACAAACAGCTTCCATGGAAGAACCTTAGGAGCTCTTGCTTTGACAAGCAAAGAACAATACAGAACTCCTTTCGAACCCATCATGCCAGGTGTAACATTCTTAGAATATGGTAACATTCAAGCAGCCACAGACCTTATCCGCTCAAGTAAAATAGCTGCAGTTTTTGTGGAACCAATTCAAGGAGAAGGCGGGATTTATTCTGCTACAAAAGAGTTTCTGCAATCTCTGCGCTCTGCTTGTGATGCCGCTGGATCTCTTCTCGTCTTCGATGAGGTAATATACTCTACCTTTCTTCCAAAATCCATCCAAAATTTTATTTTCTTTCTTTGTTTCTGTTGTTGCAGTTTCTTAATTGGTCTTGCCTCAACTGGTTCATTTCCCAGGTTCAATGTGGTTTGGGTCGAACGGGTCTCATGTGGGCTTATGAAGCCTTCGGTGTAACTCCTGACATAATGACGGTTGCAAAGCCTTTAGCTGGTGGTTTACCTATTGGAGCGGTGCTCTTGACTGAAAAGGTTGCAGAGACCATAAAATACGGAGATCACGGAAGTACATTTGCAGGCAACCCTCTTGTGTGCAGTGCAGCCATTGCAGTTATTGATAAAGTATCGAAGCCCTCTTTCTTGTCCAGTGTCTCAAATAAAGGTCAATACTTTAGAGACCTGTTGGTGAAAAAACTTGGAGGAAACTCGCACGTGAAGGAAGTGAGAGGCGAAGGGCTTATCATAGGAGTGGAACTCGATGTGCCGGCAAATTCACTGGTCGATGCTTGCCGAGATTCGGGTCTTCTGATTTTGACAGCAGGGAAAGGAAATGTCGTCAGGATTGTTCCTCCGTTGGTTATATCAGAGGAGGAAATCGAACGTGCGGTTGAGATAATGTTCCAAAATTTGACTGCGCTTGACTGAATCTCTTGGAAGAGAAATGATGTGGTGTTGAAGAACAACAAATATTTCATATTCGATCTTGTCTTAAATTAGCCTCAAGTGTACTGGTAAATGCTCTGCACATTTGAAAAGAAATAAAATTTGACAGAAACTTGATGAACTAATTGTTCAATCTAAATCCTTGTATAATTTCCATGGTTGGTTCGATGATGTCTCTATCGCGATTGTTTCCATCTTGAGTTACAGTATGCTGGTTCTGAGCTGCGTGAGTTTCAAGTGGTAGTTACCTCAGTCATCTACACTGCTACATAAGAGTTTGCAGATGCTGATGGCGCTTCCGCAAGTGAGGAATCAGAGCACATAGGTGACTGAGACCTGTCGGCTGGTCTGTTGCAGCTCTGATTCACCCAATGCTAACTTGTCTCGGCTTTGGTTTGGATAGCAAAGGGAATGAGGTACTCACAAAATTGAACAATGATAGAAATTGTGGAGGCAAGGTACGGGCTTTGCTTGGTAGAGTATCCAAGAAACATGCATTCGAAAGACGTGAATCCAATTTGTCGGCAGTGTATGGTCGCAACCAAGAATTTTACAAGTCTAATGAAATTTCATAATTAGGGCCTTAGGGGACCCTGAACTAAAACGCACACTAATCTCCGGAGCCTATAGAAAGAATGTCGAGTATTTTTGTCGTTTAGTTCTGTTAATTAATTACAGATGATTGATTTTTTGGGGTCTTAGGATGATTTATCACTATGTGTTTTTGTGTTCCTGTTGTTTTGCAACATTAAGGCTCAAGCCGCCTTGTCCTTATGGTGGCTACTATGGATTCTACTATCCAGGTTTTGCTTCTTTTCACATACTGATAATACTTCCTCTGTTCCTAAAAGGTTGATGTTTTAGCTTTTGTTGTTTGTTCCACAAAGGTTGATTTTCTAGTAATTTTATTTTATTTTTATTGACTTATAATAGTAAATTGTAAACTTCAAGATACAATGATTATAAATCATTAACTTTCTTAGACTACTATTAGTTGATAATTATTAAAAAATATTTAAAATTAAAAAACAATGTTAAAATGATCAAAGAATGATTGAGTTCTTAATATGTGTGACAACTCCAAAAAAATCAAACAATTAGGAACAGAGAGAGTATAATATAATTTCAAATCAGTTTTTTTTTTATGCTCATAATTCTGAGTTAGGTGTCTTTATTTCAGGTCTTGATAGTTCTGTTGAAGAACATAAACAAAAACATTTTGAAAATTTTTAGTTAAAATCAAAACAATTTACTTAAAACATTATTTTTGAAAACCGTTTAAAACATAACCAAGTGTTAAATTTTCATTATGCGAGAACATGTTGAACTTCTGACACTTCAAAACTTACAGACCAAAAGGACGGGATGCTAAATCCAGTTAGTTTTCAACGTATTTATATTTAACATTTAGTTTTGTCTTTAAAACAAAATTTTTTTGTAAAACTCAAAAAACTTTTAGTTAAAAATTAAAACAATTTACTTATGAACATTTTTTTTAGAACCGTTTAAAACATAACCAAATGTTAAATTTTCATTACGCGAGAACATGTTGAACTTATACACCTCAACACTTACGGACAAAATAGACGGGATGCTAAGTCCGGTTAGTTTTCAACGTATTTAAATTTAATACTTAGTTTTATCTTTTTTGTAGAATATTCAAAAAATTTTAGTTAAAAATCAAAACTATTTACTTAAAACATTATTTTTGGAGACCGATTGAAACATAACCAAATGATAAATTTTCATTACGAACATGTTAAACTTATGGCACCTCAAGACTTACGGGCCAAAAAGATGGAGTGCTAAGTCCGGTTAGTTTTCAACGTATTTATATTTATCACTTAGTTTTGTCTTTAAAACAAAAATATTTTGTAAAATTCAAAAACTTTTAGTTAAAAGTAAACAATTTAATTAAATTATTTTAAAAAAGTGTTTAAAACATAACCAAATGTTAAATTTTTATTACATCAAAACATATTGAACTTATGACAGCTCAAGCCTTACGGACCAAAAGGACATGATGTTTAGGCGAAGTTAGTTTTCGACGTTTTTAAATTTAACACTTAACTTTGTTCTTCAAACATTTTTAAAAAAATATTTGAAATTCTTTTTTTCAAAGATTTATTAAAAAAAAATAGTTGAAAAACCCTTTTAAATTTAGTTTAAAATCTGAAAACTAAAAGTGAGAACCTTTCTTTTTTTTTTCCTGGAAAAACTCAATTATTAAAACAAAAAAAGCAAATTAAGAAAGCAGAAATACCACTGGCAGCTTGTGTGATATTAATTATTTTCTTAAAGTTTTAAGTGTTAAATTTGTTTTAAATTTTTTGTGAAGAACATTATTATTATTTAAAAATGAGGTTAAGTATTAAAGCTATATTACGTGAAAACAGGCCGAACTTCGAACACCAAAACTTACAGACCAACTAAGGACAGGATGTCTAGGCGCGGTTAGTTTTCGACGTTTTTTAAATTAAGCATTTAAACTAATTTTTTTTTTTAAATAGTGAAACTAACATAGTTTTAGTTATTAATTATTTTCTTAAAGTTTAAGTGTTAAATTTGTCTTAAATTTTAGTGAAAATCATTATTATTTTTTAAAAATGAGTTTAAGTGTTAAATCTATATTACGTGAAAACATGCCGAACT